TATGCAGGTTCTTATGTTTTCACTGGTATAGAAAAATTACACAAATGTTTGTTTTTTAATTTTTTCTGGCGATTTACTTTGTAAATTAATGTAAAAAATTTACATTTAATGCAGTTGTTACATACATTATTTTTAAATTGACAAATTTCGTCATTTACTGGAAATGCACACAGAAAGAGGTAAGATTGTTTTTCCTACTATCTCAGCAAGTTTCAAAGTTCCAGATGTGTGCTGGTTTCACAGTGCGACCATCACCCACAGATCAATGGGCAACAGTAGATTTTTTTTAAAATTCACATATTATTTGTCTCTAGGATCAAAATATTCAATTTCTAGAGTGTTTTAGTTAAAAAATTATAAAAATAATATTGCACGCGTTAAAGGGTTAAAAAGTTTAACTGTCTAAACAATTAATCACCAAAAACTAAACAACACTGCAATTCTAAAACATTTTCAATCGCATGATTTTGACAATAACGAAATTGCTATTTTGGATATAATTCCTAACACCAAATTAAGACTCTAAAAAATCTATCTACATTCTGCAAAATAGATCACTTTACCCTTATGGGCTCAACTTGTACTTACACAACACAGCTATCAAGAAGAAAGAACACTCTGTCTACACTCAATTTAGAAGGTTCAGTTAAAAAAAAAAAAAAAAAAAAAAAAAAAGGTTGGGGAAGGGAAAAAGTAATAATGATAAAAGAAATTTTTTTTTGCAATGTTGGATACCAATCAACTCTTCAATAATTTTAACAAATTCTTAAATGCAAAATCTTTCGCCAAAAATCTCATTAATTTTACTCCACATGTTCAAAAATAAAATGTTATAGCAACTTCTCAATTTTTTTTTCAGACTAAGTATGATGGCCACCAACTGCTTAGATTATAATAGACTTTTGTAATTACAAATTGCATACTAGCAAACTTCTCGACAACAAAATTTTTTGCATTATTCACTTCAAACATCATATCTATGATTGCATAAATGTTAATCAGCTTTTTAAAAAACATCAATATCGACTATCTAGCAATATACAAGCAATTCCAAGCTTTAAATTTAATAAAACACTTGGAAACTTGATTACCAACCACCACAAGATTGATGTGCCAGGTTCCGGAGAGTGAAAACTACCAGAATACAGTGCTTTTGTAGATCAAAATCACTAGCATGTCACTACAGGAAATTTGATGTTTGTAAAAGACACAACTTTAAGACAATTAATGCACTTAGGAACTAAGTTCCATCCCACATTCCATATTATCAAAAAATACTGCAACCAACCAACAATTTGAAAGTAATTTAAACACTTTCATAATCAATACTAGTTACAAGACTAATTTGTCTACTACTACTTATCTTGAACGGAAAGATGCAACTCTCAATGACTTCATATGGAGAATTTCTTTCTTGCAGAGATTCATTACTTGCATAACATAACAAGAAAGATCTTGAAAATAAAATTAAGCAGCTCTAGCACCAATTCATTATAGCTAAAATGGGCAAAGCGAGCAAAACTTTTATGAAAGACCTTCTACTACAATTAAATTCATCCAAACAATTTGTATGTTCCAACTTTTTACTTCACTTGAAATTGATTACGTATACAGTACAAAGTCCGAAATCCGGATTTCGGCGATTCGAGATTTTTCTGGATATTAGATCATCAGTTTAAATTTAGTGAGAGGGCATGTAGAAATTCTAAAATTAAAAATATGAAATTGTTATTTATGATCTAAAAGGTATCAAAATTTACAAAAACTTAATATTTATTTGTTTACCTTATTAAACATTTCTTCCAATGTAAGTTTAAGTTGCTTTTTTTTTTTTGTGTTTAAGTTGGGTCTTAAATTCTGCGACTCGGTGTGGACTGGACCCTGGCACTGGTTCTGGGTTTATGTGAATAACAAATCAGTTATTCAAATAGCCCTGAATGTAATCTTTGGTTCTATGAGTATCAACAACAAAATCTGTGTTTAGTATATGGGAAAAAAATTTTGTTAAATTTTTCCTCGTCAACATTTTTAGCACATTTAACTTAAATCTCTAATCGTCGACAAGCCTAATGTCAACATAAAAGGTTTCCATACTCCTTTATTATTCAATTACTAACATAAAAAAAATGTTTAGGCATCGCTACAAGAGTCATTACTCAAGTTGTCATGTTTTGAATAACATGCGATGATGAAAGGAAAGTATAATAAATAGCGATTCCCCAGGTTGGAGTCAGATCACCGATGTATCTACGTGGAATGTTTCTGTTTGAGATGTGTGCCAAGCAGATACACAGCAACGGAGCCAAATTACTGAAAAACAAATTTATGCTAAAATGATCGTTTCTTCAATAACAAGGTATTTTATTTATTGTCAAAGTGAAATTAAGAATCGGGACTCTCCAGATGTTTTATTATGCACGGAGGGGGGGGGGAGAATCAAATGCTCATGCATAAAGCCTACTAGAAAGACCTTGTTGGTGGTTTTGAGGTACGGATTTTAGATCATTTCGGATAATGGACGTCCGGATTTCGGACTTTATACTGTATATACATATAAGGTCATTCAAATGAAAATGGCATTGCTGTAATAACTTCCCAATTTAAACAAAAATATGACCATGCAAGCCCCTATAGAGAGCAAAGAGTGTTGGAAGTGCATACATTATTGTCAGATCCTGCCAGACGCGTGTGTGATAGCATCGGAACACATTAAAAGGCACGGTTCGCATCATGGATGCCTCCAAATGGTGTTAATGTGCACAGTACAAATTTTAACAGCAGAAAATGCGAGTGCTTCTGAAATCTAGTGTCGAATGTAAAATGTGTATGGCATACTTCTTCACCCACAGTATGAAAAGCAGATCAGTATTCCGATGGTATAGGAATTTTCTTAGAGGGAAAAGCAGTACTGACGGCAGGCCACAACCCGGTCAAGTGCATACGGTGATCACTCAAGAAGCAGTAGCATTTGTGGACCATCTCATTAGGAAATGAAGCTGCATATCACTCGAGAAATACAGGAGGAAATGTCTATGAGCACAGGAAGTGTGCACACAATACTGCATAAAAGGTTGTGATATTGCAAGGTTTGTGAGCAATGGGTGCCAAAACATTTTACAGAGGAGCAGAAGATTCATGCATCTCTATTTCCATGCAACACCTTATGCAGTACGATGAAATGAAGAATAAATTCCTTTCAAGGATCACTGCTGCTGATGTAACATGGTGTGATCACTTTGATCCAGCCACAAAAAGCATGAGCATGGAATGGCGACATTCTTCATACCCATGCCTGAGAAACCTGGCACGTCCACTGGAGCTGGTAAAGTTATGTTAATATGCTTCTTTGACATCGATGGCCCAAAGCTTATTTAACACAAAATTTTAAGAGCCTCAAATGAAAATCAATTTAATGCCCTTTCAAAATGATGGTGGCTCTACGCCTTAGCTGTAAAGTTCTTAATAACAATGAGGGATAAAATAAGTAACAGAAACTAATTAAAAAAATTCAGCATCAAAGTTGAATAACATTAACTAGTCTACAGATAAATAGTCTCCATCTGGAAAATTACTGATAACTGTTTCTAAATTAATGTGTAGGTATAGTGGTGTGTGTGTATATATATATATATATATATATATATCGAGAGAGAGAGAAAAGAAGCAGTCAATGAGGTAAAAAGAAAGTATGTTTGAACTAAAAGTAATAAACTAGCAGAAAGTGCTGCTAAATTTAATAATGAAGTTTAACAGTAATGTTAGATCCAACTCATCAGCAAGAAGACATGAATTTTACCTAGGAAATCAATACATGAACTACATAAAAGTAAAAATCTAAGATACTAAGACATTGATCTGAATGTAGAAATTAATAAAGAAGAAAGTAATTTTGCTAGAAATCAATTAGTTGACTAATTAATTAAGGACTAGGCTTCCGAGTCTCAGTGAATTACTCAGAGCGAAATTTGTCTTGGATCTCTTACTAATCGACCAGGTGGAGCTTCAAAACACTTTTCCCTTGAGAAATTCTGTTAGGAAGCTCCAAACAAGGGAAATTAATTTTAGCAAAATTACTTTCTTCTTTATTAATTTCTAAATTCAGATCAATGTCTTAGTATCTTAGACTTTTACTTTTATGTAGTTCATGTATTAATTTCCTAGGTAAAATTCATGTCTTCTTGCTGATGAGTTGGATCTAACATTACTTTTAAACTTATATATATGCAGAATGTTTTATTATTTTTACTTTCATACTGGATGCTGTTAAATTCATTTAAATGTTTCTTCATAGCACTACTATTTGGACTTAAAAATACAATTTAAAAACAATACACTCAGAACCGAAGTTTTCAGAACTATAATTTAATAAAACACCAAATAATGAAAAAAAGATAAAACAGTTACATAGTAAATTAAAAACATATTAATACAAGATCCTGTTTTTCAACATCGCTTTAGCATTACAGTGCTATTCAACAAATTATATACAATTCTACCACCTAACTACGTATACAAAAAATAGCATTAACTGCAGTTTTTTTTATAAGGGTTTCTTAAGAACCGAAAATTATTTCAAGAGTTTTTCCAAGGTAAGAGAAACTTAAACTATCAAAACTTGACATTAAAGATCAGATCAAATTTAAAGATATAAATCTGCACAACACTGCCGTTTTACAAAGACTCAAGACATTTAAATAAAATTAAACATAAAAATTTCCCAAAATTATTATCAGCTTGAATAGAAAGATCTGAAACATTATGACATCAAATGTTTCAGATATTTCTATTCAATTGTTGAAATATATTAACAAATCCAAAGATAATTTAATTAAATGAATTAAATTATAAATTACAGAGCCAGGAAACCAGATGATGCTGTTCTGAATACTTATACTTTCTATGTACATCCCAGCATTTAAAACTTACTCATAACTCTTTAAATATTATGCAAATATTTTCATCATAATAAAATCTCTGATTTAAAAAATATCAAAAATTACCTTGCCACCAGAAATATTCTGCTCTAACTTTTCTAAAACATCCTCTGGGCAAGGTACTTTTTACTAAGAAAAAAAAAAAAAAAAAAAAAAAAAAAAAAAAAAAAAAAAATTAAAATTAATATAAAGCATGATATTTTATAAAATATCTGTGATTCAGAGTAAAATGTAATGAAAAACAGAGAAAACTAAAAATTACAATATTCAATTAGTTCACAAAAGTGTTTTAGGATAATAATTCATCATTTATGTTACAAGACCTTCAGAATGATTTCAGAACTTCTTCATCATTATGTCTAAAATAAAAGTCAGCTTATAAATTAAAAAAAATTAAATATAAAAATACTTTACTTTCTTTCACAAAGTATAAAATTTGGAAAGAATCCTACTAAAGGCAATAAATTTTAAATATAGAATGAGACATTTATTTAAATATAAAAAAGAGAGCCAGACACCAAGAGAAAATCTGTCCCTATTTCTCAAAAACTATCCGAAAACTTCCATATTATATTAAAAAAAAAAAAAAAAAAAAAATATATATATATATATAATATTTATTGTTGCCAAATGATAAAACTATGATAGACTGCATATCTGATATTAATAAATTATCTAATAAGTAACACGAAGTAATATAAAAGATGCAGACCAGTATGTTACTACACACAATTAAACTGCAAAAAACAAAAATCATAAGTGGATGACTATAAGAAAAAAATCTTTCACTTTACCATAGTTCAAGCCATGCTGGCGTTGCTTTAAAAAGTTGAAAATGACCTGCTCCAGATCCAGCTCCAGAAAGAATGGCCATAACAACCATTAATTCAGAAAAACCAATGCCTTCTGAAGCTGGTGATAAAATTTGTAAACCCATTGGGATCATAGCGGATAAAAATGTATTAGCCACTTTTTCAGCTACAGCACTACAAAAAAATAAGAGCAGTTTTAATTAAAATGAAATCATATACTACAAAATGCATACTAAAAGTTCCTTTTAAGAAAATTTAACATGGAGGAGCATGAACTTCAAACTTATTTTGTTCCACATAATTTTGGTAGATAACCAGGGCCAGTTTAAGAAATTTTGGGAGCCCCTGCAAGTTGGAAGATCAGGGCCCCCTAAAGGAATCCCTTTTAATAGTACAATTTCTATCGCATAATCAGGTTGTTACATAAATTAGAATCACTAATCCTTTTATTTCAAAAGTTTATTAATACTTATGTAATCTTTTCTGTTTGGGAATACTTTTCAAAATAATAAAATAAAAATGCACTTAACCATAATTAACACTTATGCCAGAATACTTTATGCCAGAAACGGCATAAATGTCTAAAGCAGTTTCCCTAAATTCAAAATTTTAAAACATTAAACAATTTTTACATGGAAAATTTTAACATGTATAGAAAAAAAAAAAAAAAAAAAACTTAATATAAATCATATTTTACAGCACATTTATTCTAATTCATTTTTATTTTACAGTAAATATTATATTGTAAGCATTTATTTAAATATTTAGTCCGACTTATTTTTAAACTTAACTTTTATTATTTTTCTTATAATTTCACTTAACTTCATAACTTTGTCACAAAAAATTACATAATCTATAATTTTTCACCCTTTCTCTCCTTTCCAGATAAAGTTTTCTGCATTTGTTAAATGTTACTGTTTCATGTTTTTTGAGCACTCAACATTACAATTAATGTGTCAATGTCCAATAAACATGCAATCTACTTACCGACTGTTATAGAAAAAACCTTCTAATTGTTCTTCCTTCAATAAAAATTGTAATTTTTTTTTTTTTTTTTTTTTTAAAAATCAGTTTCAGTTTTGACTAAAAGCTGCTTTCTGCTGAAGCTACTGACACTGATTGGATAAGATAACGGATAGCATTTCTAAATCATCACCAAGATCTAAGGCATTTATATCTTTTGAGTTTTATTTTGGGTTACTTAAAAGCATCTACAAGTTTTTTACAACTGTTGCTTATATATTCCTTATTTTTGGTAATTTCTTAATGCCGCAAATGACACTAAACACATCAAAACAATGACTTGATAATTGCTCATCTTTCTGACAAAAGAGAAACTTTCCATCAGTATAAGAGCAATGTCTATTACAATATTAGAACTTAGATGTAACTGATTTTCTTCTACTCATATAGATTTACTTGTTTTCATAAGAAAGCATCTTTTGTTTATAGTTCTGCATCGGGTATCACTAGAATGGACAAAACCTCCTAAAGATATGATCACTTTTCTTCTTTTATCTTTTCTAAAACAACTTTTTTCAGAACTCTTCAATAATGCTTGGCATTGCATTTTTAAGTTTTACTATTGGGTTCTAATTACATGCCTTTCTGCTGAATTGCTTTATTAACCCCTTAATCTACAATGACAGGCATAGCCCGCATACGATGGTCGGGCCAAACCTAACTTTCACGGGCATAGGTCGCGTACGGTGATCGGGCCAGAAGTGAATATTACGTGGAATATTTGACATGCAATTACAGTCTGACGCAATAATTGTGGTAGATGCAAGTATTACAAAATGTTTATTTATACAAAACTCCAAAATACAAAATTAGTAATCTGTAACGGTATGATATATTTCAAAGCATTCTGGTACATGTAACGAAACTTTACACTTTTTACACTCGTGTTCTATGTGGATTTTCTCGTACTTGATCTGTATACTGATTTGTTTCGGTTACAATATTGTTCCAAAATATGTCATCAAATATTAGATTAAATATATCAAATTCTCCTCTACTTACTCCTAATTGACATAAGGCTTCCTCTCTTATGCCAGGAGCCATCGTATAGTTCCAGATTTTTGGACTATTTCTTATTCTTTCTGGTAGTTGATCGTCATTGGATGTATCATCAATAATTATTCGCCTATACTTTCTTCGAAAATTACATAATTCGTCATGTTTATGATTGCCTGGATTAGCGTGTTACACAAGTCGTGCAAATGTCCCGAACGCTGTGCAAGCTTGTATACAATTTCGACCCAACATCTCCGAATCTAAAGCGTAGGTTAAGGGGTTAACTTTAATGACATGAACAAGAAAATCATACCAGATCAAAGTCTAATTCTGATATGTAAACCATGTATTTTTTCTCAGAATAGATAAACAAAATACAAGAGCATTCAAATGAAAGAAAATTTAACAAACAGCTCATGCGAACCCAACGAGAGCACCTAGAGCTTCCAACTATACTTTTTAAATGTTTAACATATGAATTTCCCAAGAAAGTAATCATTTCCAGATTTTACTCCAAAGCATACTTTTCTTCCTGCTTTCAAAGCAACTGCTAGCAATCAAGGTTGCAAAACATCCCTGAAAATTACTTTGTGGCATATGGAAACCATTTTCTTTTGTTCAAATCATTAATGGCCATCTTCTGAATGCACACAATGTTTCTGAAAAGATAGAGCAGACGACCCAAGAGCCCAATGACAAAACTTAGGGATTTTCAAAAGCCACAACTAAATCTTCAAAAAACCACAATTATACTTTTATATTTTTTAGTAGTAGCAAAATCGTTTTTTAATGAAATGATACAGAAACTAAATATTACTAAAAACAATTAGTTAAATATTCTCAACCAGAATGCTGATTCAACAAAATTCCAAACAGATTCTAATAAAGGAATTCATTTTATAAATTGCTTTTCAGTTGCATATCATTATTTAATTAAAGAAAAGTTATACATGCTATCAAAATACCTTTTGATGATTTGACCTTTTTGATGATTATTAAGTTTCAAACCGCAACAAAAGAAACATAAGTTTTTACTACTGCAATCAGTGTAAAATCTTTTCTAATGTACAAATCTAAGGTTTGTAAAAGAATTACGTTCTGAAGGCAATAAAAACCTTAGTCTTCCACACATGAAATGATGATGATAGAAACAATAATAATAATAATAAACTTGCAGTCTGTAACACTTTAAAAATTAAATTAGCATTTTCAAATTAAAGAAATATAAAAATCTGTAAAATATTTCATTGCTTGAATTAAAATCATAATTTTTCGGAGAGCTATTTTCATATATTCTTTTATTTATATCATTTTACATTCAATAATAGCAGAAATATTATAAAAGTTGAGTAAACACTTATCATCATCTTTTAAGCAAACTTAATACCTCTTACACCAACTGAAAACAATAAATCTCTACTATCAAATAAAATAAAAATTCAATTAAAATAATTTTGAAAAATTCTATTGTTCATAGCAGATGTAAATTAGTATAAACAGGGCAAAGTGAAAAATGTTTATATTAGAAAGTAAGAAAATGTGAAAATGCTACATCCATAGGCAAACTGAAGAAATCAGACTTGTCTAGTGCTTATGAATAACTTTTTTGCCCGTTTCGATTCTGATATTTAATTATTAACATTCATCAAATTTTTGGAAATCTTCAGTTCGGCTACAGCAATGAAAAGTCATTATACAGACATTACTGTCCCAATGTATGAAAACAGTAAAAACATTATAGGAAAAAAAAAAAAATGTTAACAACAATTACTCTGAGCCAATCAAAGCATTCTTTCAAGAAAAAAGTATTTTAACTCAAGAAAGTGACCACAATGTAGAATTTTATATCAATGCTGAAACTATTTGGAGATGGATGCTAAAAAGTTGCTGGGGGGGGGAAAGGACATTCATGTTCGTAAATGATTTTATTATTCATGGCTACCATTTCTAAAAGCAGTTTATTTATTTTGGGTCAAAAAATCTCATATTCATTAAATGGTGCATAAAGCAGATAAAAAATGTAGCATATGATTGTTGAATGGAATAGTTAGGCTGCCTGCACCACATGCTAAGTACAGTTGATTAGTCTGCAATTTACATTGGTGGTTAATTTGCTGAAGCAGCAAAATGTATCAAAATGTTTACTTTTTAGTGCATTGAACAAAAACTGCATGATTTTAAGTTATTTTTCTATGGAGTGTTCATTGGATGAGAGGAAAATAAAAAATTAAGTGCCTTCAAACAGAAAAATTATTTTTTGTAATCAGCAATAGCAAGGTAGTGCAAAAGATACTTTTGGAAATGGTAGCTAGGAATAATAAAATAGCAAGGTTTCCATTTGTCTCTTCTTTCAAAGACTTTTCATTAATCCGATGGCATAAGAGTACGTTTAATGTGTTCATGTAATTTTTTTCACCTCTAGTTAGAAATCAAAACTTCTACAGTAACTATGTTAAAAATACTGGTTGCAAGTGAAGTGGAGAAATTTTAATGTGTTATATTGGGGGGGGGGAAGTAGAAAATAGCCCAATTAATATTTTTATTAATCATTACTGTTTCAAAAGAGAGTGAACAGTTTGTTTTATTACCAAAAATTTCAAAGCTGTTTTGAGGTCTAAGGTAATGAATATCTAATAATGTCCCCTCTCCCAAATCAAAGGATACTGGAAAATTGTAAAAACTGGTAAATTATAGTAGAGATTCAATATAAATGCCATTTAAAAGAAATTTTCACTCTACCAAATGATGCAAATTATAACGAAATTATTTAATTATAGTGAAATTCTGAGATTATTAATTTGCCCATTAACCAAAAATATATACAAAAAATTTCTTTTAATATTAAAATAAAATTAAAAAAAAAAAAAAAAAAAAAAAAAAACCCACTAAATTTTGGAGGGAGGGGGAAATGGTTTCATGCATGCACGTCTCTATCCAGATAACAGGGATGCTAAATTTTATAGCTCTTTGCCTGTCTCATTGCTTTGTGATACATATAGCCCACATTTTTATGATTAATATCATTTATAACTGTAAACCAGCTTATACAGAAAAACAATAAATTAGAACAAAATAAGAATGATAAGGTACAATAATAAAAATGATAAGATAAATATGACAGAACATTTCAGATTACATACATTTAAAAAAAAGAAATTAAACTATTTTCATATTAAATCACATATAGAAAGAACTGTCAAATTTTACAAAATTACCTATTCTGCTTCACAATATAAGAAGTTAAGCTCTGCAAAAGTAGTCTGTTTTCTTGAACGCTATTTCCTTCTTCCACAGGCTAAAGGAAAGAGAGAAATAATTTTGCATTTAATAAATTAATTTACATTTTACTTATTAAATTATTAATTGCATTTAATAATTTAATAAATAAAATATAAATTATTAAAGATGCTACATGTAACAAAGATATAAACTGCCCTAAACAGTCAATAATTTTATAAGATTTATAACTGCATATTAATATATCAAGTTACTGACACTTAACTGTAACTATTATTACATACATAAGTTAATATATGCAATGCTGTATATATATATATATATATATATATATATATATATATAATAATAAAAAAATGTGTTATTAATGCCTCTAAAAATTCACTGTGGTTCACTGCAGATTTTAAAATAAAGTAGCTTATTTTACATCCTTCCCAAAAGCATTAGATCATCTGTCCAATGTAGTCATTACATTTAATGAGGGTTCAGAAAATTTGGATCAACAGTGGAAGAGAGGAGAATGTGTTGTAAAAGCAGGAAGAAATAAACTCTAGCTCTTTGCCTGTGCTTATTCCCTATTAGAGTATAAAATGTTAAAGAAATTGCTATTAAAATTTTTAAATTATGACAACTCATAAATTAAATCTTTAGTACAGAATAAAACTAAAAATCAACAAAGTCAACTCAAAAAAGAAATCTTTTAAAAATTCTAGCATCTGCTCATTTGTTTCTGCATTTTTATAAAAAAAAATAACTTGATATAGATAGAAAAATATTAAAAGCAATGTATAGAAAGGTAAAATATTTCATGAATCACTGACTAGCAACAATATCTTTCTTGATGACATATCAACAATGGCATAACAATGTGGAAAATAGCAACACTTCTTCTAGGTGTTAATAAATATAAAAACAGGTATAACAAATAAGTTTCAGAAAGGTTGGAAATATTCCAAATGTGATACAAAAAATAAAAATATTAACATGTAAAATGTCATACTTGAGCAGGACCACCAAATATCACTTTGCTTAACCACTGCTGAAGCGTTGCTGAATCAACTTTACCCAGTTTACTCATTTTGCACAAAGATGCACACAACTTCTCCAATGTTTTATCTCCAGGATTTTTTTCTTCTAAAATTAAAAGTTTGCAATGGGTAAAATAAATGATTTAATTTATATTACTACTTATAAAGCTTTTCAAATCTATTAAATAAAATCAACAATGAGATGATTTAAACAAATTAAAGTTTAAAAGAAATTTAAAAATAAAATTTTTGTCAAGCCTTACAAGAAGCAAAACAAAAGGTGTATTAAAGTTTTGAAATTTAGAAAAAAATTTAAAAGATATTTTATGATCTGTATGCAAAAATTTACAAACTGCTTTTGTTCAAGAACTTGTCAAGGTAACATGAAATGTTCAGAGAACCAGCTGTCAGAAAGGAAAAATCATTTCCAAATCTGCTATGAACTTTAATCTATTGTATTTTCATAGCATTGTATGTATGATTTGTACGAGCATACTTATTAAAAAACAAACAAACAAAAACTCTGAACTATTTTGTGCCTAGATATATAATATCCAGTATTAGAAAAAATGTTTTATTATCTAGAGCAATGCAGCAACTATTGACAAAAATTATCAATAGGATGTATTGCAAATTAGGTACATTTTAATTTTTTTGAGATACATAATTAAAACTAAGATAATTATTGAAATTATCAAAAAAGTTTATTGTTTTCAAATTTCTCAATTTGTTAAGCAAAGACAGTTTGGTTAAATTTAAAAGGCAATTTTTTTTCTTTCAAATTTAATCTTAAGTCCTTTATTGAATTACACAGAAAGCCTTAGTTTATTATTATAGCAATTCACAAATTTGTTTGGGTACACCCTTAGTAATACAATATACATTTATCCAATAGATCAGATTTAATGTAAGCTTATGTAAGCTAAGAAATGGTGGCTATGATGTATTTCAGCTTATCTAAATTATGACGAAGGATATGAATAAAGACCTCATCTTTCATATATTTTCAAGAGAAAAATATCACAGAAAGTTTATGCATGACATTAAAGTGACTACACTATGAATACTACCAAAGCCTGTCCATCCACCTCTGAGGAGGATTTTTTTCTGAGGCGATTTCTCATCCTGACTCAGAAATATGGTGATATTCCCTGATATATTAACTGAAGAATGAAGTTCTCATTGGCCTCCTACAAATGTGCCATTAACTAAAAGCCACTTTTTGTAACCAAATCATGTGAGAAGTCACAATCTAATAAAATGCTGGGGGGAAAACTTACATACTTCTACTTATGAAGAGATTATCTTCTTCCTTTTTTCCCATCGAATTAATTATTGAACCTTTTTCAATAAGTTTGCCTTTAAATGATATATAAAGATTTTGCACTTCATCTAAAAATTAGTTTTGAAAATAAAAGCATTTCTAAATGGACGAGTGGAAGAAAAAAATATAAATAAAATTATCAATTATCTTATACCAAAACCCCATTTTGCCTTCTACCAAGAAATGAAAAAGAAGTCCAATATATCCGGCTTATTTCGTACATATGGCTGAGTAATTTAATTTTTGTCATTTAGAAAACTTAATTCTTCCACCCTTTCAATACAGACACCAATAATGGAGAAACATTTCATAATGCTGATACTGAAGACACATTTTTTCATATGGCATTTTCTCTATCAGATTATCCAGCTCTTTCTGAACCATCTTGATGATCTTATTTTAATCATCTACCTTCTCTCACTCATGGGAAAACTGATTCTTAAAAAAACACTGAACAAACCAATGTTAGACCACTAGAATAGTAATGAGATTGAACTGGATTAATTTCTGTGGCTTGTAGGGTAATATTTTCTTGGTTAAGTATAACTTCAAAAATCCAAAAAAGCATAGTGATAAATAATGAATCTTTCCAACTGAGCAAAGTGTTACTTAAAAACTTTTGGTATAATTTCAGGTTGTTTCAATTCCTAATAACTTTTAAAACTGGTTTCTTCAGTTTCTAGTCCCACCAGTGGCTGAGTGGTTAAGACCAATGAATACTGGTAGCACAACACAAGTTCCAGCCTAAGTGAATATGCTAGTTGTATGATTGGTTTTCATAATTCTCATCATATTGAATGTTGATATCAGCCAAAAGTCCCTTAGAAAGTCCCCCACAAAAGCATCCCTCCCTTTCGAAAGAGACCCCTATCTGCTTTGCTATATTTTAATAACCTAATTTTAGCTCTAATTTATAAACACTAAATCCAATGATTCTTCTACTGCTAGAAGCAGGTTTGAATGCCTTCTTTGGAACTGTAGGTGAAACCACTGACATACTTGCCAACCTATGACACTAAAAAAATCAGGAGATTTTTCACAATGTTAAAAAGACTTTTTTAAATGATAAAAATATAGTTTTTAATAATGAATTAACTTTAAATAGTTAGTAATTCTTAAATGCAAGCAACACAAAAATACCTTACACATAAAAAACATTTTTATTACTTGCATTGTATAAGGGGGGGGGGAACACTTTAATCAGCTTTCGTACAAATGTTTTGAAGAGTGGCAGATTTTGCCTTCATTTTAGAAAGAAACTTCATAATTTTGTTCATAGCAATTGCCATGCAGGCCTGTTTTTGTTAATAAAAGTTTTTCTAATGTGTCATCACTAATATTAGATCTAAATTTAGTTCTCATTTTTGCAACAACACTGAAAATCCTCTCACACTCTGCATTACTATGGGGAACTGTCAAGATGGCCAACATAATTCTAGACAGCTCACTATATTTTAAAATTCCATCAGCACCTTTCAGTTTTCCAATTAAACTCCACTGGTGTCAATCCTAGCTGATTTTATAACTTTATCCAAGTTTCCTAATTGTAAACTGCAAAATTGCGACTGCAATATATCAGTGGCAACATCAATATCATCTGTCATGACTAAATGAAGTAACACACGAAATCTGTTCAAAAAGTACCTTATATGAGAAAAAGATGCATTAGCTAGAACAGAAACATCAGCAACTTTAAAGAAAAAAACTCCATTAAAAAAGGCAGAGAACAGACATTCTGCATTCTTTTTGGTCCTTTGTTTCCAAAGAAAAAAAAAAAATTTTTTTTTTCAAAACAACTCATGTTGTCCTTGTGTTTTTGTGTACGCACATGTTTGAGAACATATGCCCTTCCACCACGTGAAATCAAAAAATCGCAACAACAGACGGTACACATCACAAATTTATTACATTTCCTTGAGGAAATAATGGAAGGAAAGTCAACTGTGTATGATTTTTGAAACATACACGAGTATTTCACCTTTCTCGCAGACATAACAAAAGATGATAATTTCTAAAACTATTTCCCGATGGCTCACACAACTCAGGATAAGATGAACGAAATAACTAAAGAATATCCAAATGACACCCTTGAGCTTGCTTTGTGCTCATTGGCTAATATATGCCAGATGACATGCAGTGGAGCTCGATGCCCACTGGAGAACGACATTTCTGGATACATATGCTCTCACTCACAAAGCAGAAATTCTCATCTGATTCTAAAGTTTTTGTTCAAGATATAATCTAGAGAAAATTCAATTGCTTTCGTACGTCCAAAATCACTTTTGTTTTGTTCATGTAACGAAGTATTAAGCCAAGTTCCATAAAAATAGTTAGAAATTTTGAGAATAAGAAAAAGGTCGGGAGAAATATATTGTAAATCGGGTTGGCAGGAGAGTGGTCGAAATCTCATGCACTGAACACTGAGTTTCTTTTTTGACTTATGGAAAGCCAAAAATCATGTTTCTGCTCTTTATTGCTAAGTCTAAACTTGGAATTTTATTTATAATTTCAGCCCTTTTTAGAAAAACATTTAAATTAAAAATGACCTGTTACTGCTCCCCGCAGATAAAGAATGTCCTCCTACTCTACAATACTTCCATCCTAAAATTCTGCTTCCCCCCCCCCCAAAAAAAAGAGAAAAGAAAATAATGGCTTTTCCATTTGAAAAATTTATCAATATGGATGCTGATTAATTTGAAAAAGAGAACTAAAAATTTTTAGACACAAAAAAGTAACTGGGTACTTAAACATCTCAGTGAAATTACACACCACACATTATAATAAAATACTTCTGCATATTAATTAAATGTTGTGCCACGCTAGCATGCAACTATAAATGACTGAAATTCTAGAAATAAAAATGGCTAATATTTAAAAAAAATATATGTAGTATTTCCCAGATTCCTGCAAAACAACTAAATATAATAATAAATTGAAATAAGTAAATAAGTATTTCTTAAAAAAATTTTGTAAATATCATATTTTGGCTCGAGAAATTTAAGATACATGATTCAAATGAACTTACTCTGTTGAAATAATTTGCTAAAAAATTTTAAAACTCTTGTTCCATACACAGGACTCAAGTTACTGTTGGCTGCTGATAATAATATGTTAACCATATCTGTAATCAGAGAAGCATCAAATATAAATACGTACAAAATTAATTCAAAAATTGAGAAAACAATTTTTATTGCAAAAGAAATTATCACTAAATACCATTATCACTATCATCAGCAAAAAATGTTTCCATAGCTTTTTTCCCAGCACTTTTATCTAACAAGCCTTCCATGAATTTTAGGCATTCGTGAAGTATACGTTCATCAACATCGCTAAAAAAGGGGGGAAATGCACAATTCTCAAATCTATCAAATTTAAACAAAAAATATAAACAATAAAATTATAAATCTAAACATTTACCTTTCTTTATTTGAATGATTTATAAGCAAATCATAACTCTGAGTGAGTACTTCAAAATAATTAAATGACAGATATTCATCACCTTCTGGAGCACCAATAAGCCTCTCCAATGCTAATGTCGTCTAAATTTTAAATACACATAAATAATTAGATTGATAAATTAATTAGAATTTTATATTAAACAGTACACTACAGTTCATTTTGAGAGCCCAGCAATAAATTACATCACTAAAGACATATGACAATGTGTTATTATACAACAACATACTGAGCACAATAATGAAGAAAGATTAACAAACAGTAAAACACAGTAATGAAACATTTACTGATTCTCTCCCCCCGCAGCATTCATCTCCTCCAAAAGTTTAACATATCAATAAGATTATGATGAATTATGAAAAATTAAAATTAAAAAATATAAAAGAATACAATTTTAAAAACAAGCAATCTGAAATTAGATACTGAGTTAACACCTCAAACAGTTTTATGCTAAAAATTATATATATGTTAAAAATTTATACAGAAAAATAAAGAATATGTAAAAGATATAATTTAAATTAGCAGCATAAAATTAATTTCCTTTCTCTATTCTAAAAAAAGTAATCTCCCTTTGCACTGCGTCGAGACTAATCCCTATCATATGACTCTTAGAAAACTCTAATGATGTAAATGGAACTAAAACAGCCAATAATAACAGCAATATTAATTATCCAATCAAAATGCATTGAGAACCAAAACTAACTCAGTCTGAAGTAAGATTTCATCCTGAACATAACATTGCATTCTAGTCTTTGGTCTAGCTAAACTGCAGCTCTCTTCTTATTGCAAATCTATCAAAAAATGTAAACTTCTTTAAATAAGCATAAATAACGTGCCAAGTTGTTTGTGGCCGCAACATGCTTACTGATATAAAATGAAGACTTAATCTGCCTTGACTGCCAGTTTCCTTTTTATTATGGATAAGCTTTCTTCACAATAAAAATTCTTGCTCTTCATTACGGATTCAACGTTCTATAAGAACTGTTCAAATTAAAAGCTACAAATCGTCGTAACAAATAAAATAGGTTGAAATTTGAATATGCAGCTTTAGACATCTAAAGATGTGAGTGTAGTGTACGGTGTGGGTGTGCGCATGCATAAGCACCCACACGTGACGCAAGAGAGAAGCAAGCAAGGCGCTCCGTCCAACTGATGCGACAGTGCACGCGAGGACGTCATAGTATTCACAATGCCAAATTCGACAACTGCAGAGCAGTGAGGTGTTATCAGATTTCTGACTGTGGAAGGGTTTAAACCGGCCGATATTCATCACCGGATTATGGTCGTATACTGGGCAGATTGTGTATCAGACAACTTAGAGAGGAAGTGGAGTGCTAGTAACTTTATGTGGTAAATTTGCACTGATTTAATACGGAAAAGATTTTAATAACCAAGATGATGGTGTATATTTTTTTAAGTAAACTGTCGGTACACAAAGCTTATAACACATATTTCTTATACATGAAATTTATATTCATATTTTGACTCAGCAAATTTTAGGGGCATTATATAAATGAAAAGACAAAAACTGCTTCTTTTTTTGGCTCTCACCTCATCAAAAGCAAAAGAATGAGATCCTCTCATGGTGTTACATCTTATTGATGTGACACTTTCTTGACTATGCATTGTGTTACTTTCTCCCACTACCCCTGCAGAAATTCTACAGTTCTTATTAGCTATCATCATGGAAAAAATAAGGTGCAAATGCAGTCCCCGAACACTAGTTCTAGTCACATTTTATACCATTAATCAAATATGCCAATAAGCAAACACTTACAATATGACTATATTTTATGTTTTTAGTGCTAAAGTTGAAAAATGGCAGCCTTCGAAATAAAAGAAGAGATAAAAGATGATTTATTTTCCAGTCTTATCCTTTTTATTTATTTATTGGCAGGATTTAATTAGCAAATTCCATCAAAGGTTCTTACATTTAGATATTCAGATATTTATCATATTTCGTCATCTGTCCAGTGCCCAGATTTCTGAAACATTTTGAATTTTCCTGTTAATTACATTTTTTGAATCTAAAACTTGCATAAATCCAATTTTAAACTTATAAATAAATAAAGTATAAACAGATTTTTATTAAAGAAAATTTTCAATTTCTCAGATATTAAGAAAAAACATTTTTTAATGGCACTATAGCTATTACTTTAAAACATGGACTTCAAGGTTATTTTCCACACCCCACTTGGCTTTTAATTGCGGTAACAACAGCTATAGCAGATCGTTAGGTCTCCTAATTATTTTTTTTTGCACTTTACTCACTTTTTGAAAAGTACACAAATGAAGGTTGAATTAAACAGCAATCTCAAACGAGGTGGAGAAAATTAGCGCTGTGCGGCAATGACAACACATGTTATGACTGCAAATGGGGAAAGATCAGATAGATCTTGAAACGCCTCTGTTAAAGCAGAGATTATAACATTTAACAGCAACAGATTATAACATTTAACAGCAACAGATTATAACATTGTCCAGATTCATGTATAAACAAAAAGAATACAATGACATCAAAATACAGCTTTAAAAAATTATGAGTAACTTAATACTTTTTGAATTATTTATATAAAAAGCATTCAGCACTCAAGCTAAATCAGTTAAACAGCTAATGCCTAAGCTAAACATATTAGACTTAAGCAACTAATCTATAAATAAATTCAATGCAAGAATCTTACATAATCTCCAAGTGATTCTGTGGTAGCATCTAGCAACAATGGAAGCATAACACGAATCATTTCTTTTGAACTGTTATTTTCAGGGCACCATCTATTTTAAATAAAATCATTAAATAAAATTAAAAAATTTCACCATACACTGAATCTAATTTTTCAACTAAAAATTAAAACTAGTGGCAAAAACTCCTCTGAAGAAATTATGAAATATTACATGTGTATGCAACTTTGAAAAGAATCAGATTACAGTTTTTTTCCTACAACAAAGAAATGAAAAACAGAAAATGAAGCTCCTCACCTTATTACCTGGAAATTTTAAGCAGCTTCCCCCCAAAAAAATTACACACCAAGTTCTGAGAATGAATTTCCTAACTAAATTTTTATTCAGTCCCAGTCTCCTAGACTTCTGTTAACCTATTCAATCCAGAAGTTTTATGTAAATATCAATAACATGCTAGCTACATTAAGTATTTATTGCAATTCATAAAGTGTCACTAAGCTCTCCCTGAATCCTAGTGACATTAGTCCCTGCCTGAGGAAAAACTTGACACTTTTAAAAGATTACTCATATATTGCAGGCTGAGGAACCTTGGTGGGTAAGAGTATAGGGTTTTATGTTAATTGATTAGTTATCTCATTATTTATCTAAACTTTCAATTTCATTGAATCCCACGAGGAGGCAAACAAGTTAATGCCTTTAAACACACAGTACTTACAGTCTAAAAGAGACCTTTAGAACAGCTATAACTGACCCTCACACTATTACTTCTCTCTGCAACAGAATCATTTACTTCTACTCTACCTTTGCTAATTGTGAAGGTTAGAGTCCTGAGCCAAAGATAGTGAGCATGTTTCACCCAGTAATTTAATAGTTTAATTTTACTAAAGTATTTGTTTCTGAATTCCTGCAAGTTATGAAGACTTGCAGTTTAGAAACTGTTTCTATTATTAAAACTTGTAACCATCAGTCTAAAAAGGTTTATTTTAAACTTTATTCTGAGTTTGTGTAAGTCTGCTTAGCAGTTACAATGCAAAGATAAGTCAACTGTGCAGTTTCAAAGGTTAATATTTTAAGTAGTTTAGATCAGTATAAGTAAAACTTGAAATTAAGAGAATTAGATAAATTACAGCTGCCCTGTTAGCATGATGGAAGAAAAGCCAGCTGATGTAGTCTTGGGCCTGGTTCAAATCCCAGAGAAGGTGTGTAAGAGTATAATGTCTCTGTGGCATGCGGGCACTTAAAATACTGGTGGGCCGAAAATCCTCTCAGAAGGGGAAGAGGGAAGGAAGATCTGTTTTCCAAGAGATTCTCCTTCAAAACTGAAACAGTGCTGGGTAAATTAATTCTGTCATGTATAAAGAGGTCAAGGCCTATGCAATCTTTATATAGTGGGACCTTGAGATACGAGTTTAATTCATTCCAGCATTGAGCTCGTATAGTGAATTTCTCATATCTAGAAACAAACTTCTCCATTGAAATAATGGGAATCCAGTTAATCCATTCCACACCCCAAAAAATATCAAGATAAAAATCAATTTTTCTGATAAAAAATGCTGGTAAATAATATAACCGTAGTTTATCTTTATAATAGCTTCCGACACCGAATTGTCTTTTAACTGCTTCTTGTTTATCCGCAACAACAACAGCTTCCTAAAATCTTCTAGAAGTTTTGGATCATGCTTTTAAGTAACGGTAACTCCTTTAGCCATATCAAGTTTCTTAATTTCTTCCTTCTTCTTCAGAATAGTGCAGATCATCAATGTCAAATGGCCTCGCCAATTACTTCACTATTATGCCACACTTGTATTTATCTATTTCTTTCTTATTTTCAATGGCCATGGCTTCCTTCTTTTTCAAATATACTAATAAAATGGAGGTTTAAATAAGCTACGTTTTTAATTATTTAGTTGGTGATAAGTTCTAAATTCTTATGTTGAATTACTTGCATAGGACGGACACTATATAGATTCAATACAGCATAGAAATAACACAGGCGACTAACTGACACTAGCTGCAGCATACTAACACAGGTTACCGATATACAATCTACATAATAAAAGAAAAATCTTGATAACGATATTAGAGGATTAATGCATATTTTGTCATCTGCACAGGATCATTACAAATATCAATACTACATACGGCCAACTCTAGTACAGAATCTGTCAGAGTATCAACAGTAAACAGAACTAACAACAGAATACATGTTGCATTAGCTTAGGCTTATAATTAGCAATGATGAATAACCAAGACAGAAATTAATTAAATTATTATTTTTTAGGATACCTGCATAAGACTGAAATTAACTCTTCAACTACAGTTTCGATCAAATGCTGGCAGAGATCTCATGTAGTGTAAACCTCTACTGCATTCTACATGGCAAATTAACATGGTAGTAACTTCTACTGATACTTATATAGCCTAATCTAGTTCATTAGCTGAAAGTCAAACTGACAATTAGAGAAATTTAGAGCTGCACAGTATACAATTATGTATACTGTTATTTCTGCTCAGAAACTAGATGACATATTTTAGGACTAGCAGTTCAAAAAAATTAATTAAAAAATTTATAAGAGTTAAGAATACTAAACAAATCAAAATTCAAAAAGTTTAAGCATGAATATTCATCACTAGATACAAATGCTGAAATTTTAAATTGTTAAATCTGAAATTTTATACTTTCAGAAAACATCAATGTTAATACAGTAGCAACTAAAAAAAATTTACTTCAAGTTACATATAACTTGAGTTTCCATTCTAAAAACTTTGCAATTTTGAGGCTGATATGACCATAATATTTGTTTATGATTTAACTGCTAGGAAGTCTATTTTAGAAAAGAATATCAGTTTGGAGCAGCGAAACTGAAAAAGTTCTTCAGAAGTACGAAGTAAATTCAAACTATTTCAATATGCATATCTGATAAATACATTTAAATACTGATACAGTATATATTTGAATTTGGAATTTCGCATCTCCTCCCCTCAAAATTATTAATTACTACCCAGGAAATAAATTTTTTTTCTGGTAATTTCTGCTGCTTTTTAAGTTACACAAAGAGGCACACCTGATATTAGTTCTGTTAGCTTCATTTCTGAACTTATTACAGAAATGCAGATTATTCAAATGGAAAATACTGTATTAAAAAAACTATTATTCAAATCTTTATATAACGAGGAAAATATGTGCAAATAGATACACTTAAATACACAGAAAAACAGAAGAATTTTTTTAAACAATTATTTGTATTAAAAAATATTTATAGTTTAATCTGAACCTTGCTCCTTTGCATAATTCTAAGAATTTAAATTTGATTATTCATTAACACTTCTAAATACTGTTCTGGTATTTTATGTTTTGCATCATTACTTAACCATTTCACCTTTTAAAAAATATTCTATTCCTCACTTTTTTGTAAAACCTGTAGCAAAACATCTGAAGTGAACGTTTTTCTCAGTTTAATGCAAAAAGTGCACAATCATCACTACAGGTCCGGTTTTATGAAAAAATAGTGTAAGACTTTTGATGTAACTTAGTGTTATCGGCAATATGTAAGCTCTACAGAAATCACAATACTGCATTCAAAGAAATAATATTACAGTAATAAATAAAGTGAGCAAAATAAAGATTTGGACTATAAATATGGCATTTTAAAAAACTCATCGATTTCAATAAATGTAACTTTATATGTATATACCAAAATTATTAATTATACTATGAATAAGGCACATATTCTAGTTGTATCAAATCTGGATTTAAATAAAAATTAATAAACAAATTCAAATTTTACAATTAAGATCATGCACGCAACAACGATTTCTATCAATAAAATTTTTAATAAAGTTTTAATAAATTTCTAATAATTTCAAAAAATTTTATTTAAAGAACATAATAGCACAGGATCAATTTTCAGTTCAGATGATGCATATATTACAAAGCTATAATTAATAACAAATCTGTTTGATCTAAAAAATGAGTTTTATTTAATTTCAGATAATTTCACTGCTAAAATTTTGGCAGAGATCTGCTTAAATTAGTCTTACATAATCAAATCACCAGCAAAACGAACTAAAGTATGCAAAAGTCTTTTCAGATTTGGACTTGTTGAAAACCTTGTTTGACCTGAAATGTAAAATATGTATCACCAGTCTTTTAAAAATAATAAAGCAGTATATTAAACTTAATTAATTTTTTAGCATGAATCAAGTTAAATCACACTGGAAAATATTATTCAATTGTTTACTGAGACTGACTAGACTTTTCACTTTCAGCATTCAACAGGTATATATTAGCTGAAACTTACTCGAGAGACAATTCATGTGGGCATGTTCAATGGATGATATGTAACTTTCCGAAGGTATAATATCATTAGCAAAATCATTTCTCTAAAAAAGAAAGAAATGTAAATTTGTAACAAATTTTTACTGAATTCTGTAATTTTTAAAATCAAAATGAATTTTTATATATAAAATATTCCAACTAATTTTTTATGAAATAAATACGTAGTCTGGAGGCCCAGATTTTAGATCATTCCGGATATTGAGTGCCTGATTTTCGGTCTTTTTTACATACATTAAAATTTTAATTACTGAACTCTTGTTTATCAAAAAAGATCTAAAAACATCTAACAACATATTATTAACCTACCCCCCCCCTTAAAAAATTGCTATCTCAATTTAAAGATTACAGAATAACACTTGAAAAGTATAACTAATTGGTATTTTTGAGCTGTAAAAAGCAGAGCTGTGGAGTCAGAGTCATGAAGTCGAAATTGGAGTTAGGCAGATTTTAGGGTAAAAGGAGTCGGAGAGCTGGAGTTGCTAAAAACACGTTGACTCCAGTTCCAATTTGAAATGAAATTAAAGTGAACTGAAAAAGAATTTAATGACAAACTGAGTTATTATTTTTATTTATGGACTATATTGATTAATAATATTTAGTTATTTTCTATTTGATATACATATTAATAAATAAATATAAGGGAGAAGGATAGATGTGATATTTACAATTATTCATTAAACTGATTCATTTAGTTTCTTCTTCAGCTCATAGATGGCATTATTGTAGTAAAATTCACAACAAGTAAAAGGAGCCCATGGCTGCAAAATGCATCAAATGCTACAAATCTCATTGGTACCTATGCTACAATTCTGACTGTTAAATTTATGCAAGCACCACCAGCAGCAAAGACTCCCAAACGTGATGCCATTCTTAGGAGGGGCGGAAAACAGGAAAAGGAGCAATTATTAATCAAGCAACACGATGGGGAAGTACATATTTGATGATAAAGAAGTTGTTACAATTAAGAACTTTCTTAGAAGATGTAGATAACACTAATGTTTCATTAACAGAAAGACTGCGGAATGATCTTGCAAAGTTAGAAACTATTCTTTCTACACCGTATATAGCCAAAATAAAGCTACAATCTGGAGAATTAACAGGAGGCTTCCTTCTATGAGAATGGAAAAATGTGATAATTGATCTTTCTAAAATGGGAGGGCTTATTGCAGAAGGAATCATTTCCTCAATGAAGAAAAGAGAAATTAGTTTGCTAGATAATGAGAGCTTGCTGGGTTCAATATATGTAGATCCAAAACACCGAATTTTCTTAGATGACAAAGAAATTAAAAAGGCAAAGAAAGCCATCTATGAACTTTCACTAAGAATGACATTATTCTCAGAACAACTGGAGTATTCGAATCAAGACAGTTAGACTGCAGACACTATCCTCTTCCATTGATGAATTAGATTTTGAGAAATATTTTGCATAATATTGAAAAGGCTAAGGCAAAGTGAATGAAAATAAAGAGCCAGGAAACTTTAGATATAAAAATGAAAAAATACAAACAAGATTTCTACACAGCCCTTGAAATAGAGAAATATGATCTCTCTTGCAAGACACCTCTTTTAGAACTTACACAAATCTATCCTGAAAAGCTAAAAGAAATAGCCTTAACAGTAACACCCTCCTACTGAATAGTATGGAAAGGCTATTCTCAGCTCTGAAGTTTATCAAATCTGATCTACGGTCCTTTATCAAAGAAGATCTTGCCAAAGCTTTACTGTTTCTTAGAAATTACTAATGCCAGTTTTTGTATTTCATAATAAATGCTAAATAATATATATAATCTGCTATGCCATCATTTGTTTTTCTGTAGCATCTATTACTTCTTTTATATTTAAAAAAAAAAAAAATAAGCTTTAACACATCTGTATAGGTTTACATATATATGAGGGAGTCAGAGTCTTTAAAATTCCAGAGTTGGAGTCGGTCATTTTCCCTACCGAGTCCACAGCTCTCGTAAAACGTGCCAATTCATCACACCTTTAGTATTGAAAATATGCATTTATAAATGGATATGATATGTAAACTAAATAGAAATGATAATATTCAAAATTCTATGAAACAGACATCACTTGAAAAAAACCAACAAAGAAATTAAAATAACATTTTACTTTTTCAATTAGAAAAAAATCACTTTATAAAACAAACCTTACTGATTTAAGCAAAATTTTTTAAAAATGAAAATACTTTGATATAATTGCAGATTACAAAATACAGATAAAAGGGTTAAAAAGAAATTCTGTAGTTGATAAGTAATAAATGGCATTAAAAATGTCCTACTATTTCAAGGTATGGAAAAATAAATGATTTTCCTATACTGAGACATATATGACATCAGAATTTTTGTTTATTATTTGTAATATCTCTACAGATGTTTATACAAATAATCAATTTATTTAAGCACACCACAAATGACAGACTTTAAATGTCCTTTTTCCATAACGATACTAAAATCTGAAACGCCTATGCTTTGTCCAGGATTTGAGCTTGGACTCAACAGCATAGACTGTAGTGGGTAATTATACATTATAATACATAATACACATAATTAATTAAAAACATAATTAATCAATTTAGAGACAAACATTAATCAAAAATAGAAAATAATTACCCATGCAGTTGTTGTTATAGTGTAAGAGTTCCACTGACCCAAGACGCTACGCAGCAGTGGAGGGAGAAAATCAGCTATTGCCGAAGTGAAAGATGATACTTTAGATGAGCCATTGGATGCCATGCGTAACACAGTATTGTATGCTTGTAAAGTTTTCGAACTAAGAGGAGGAGGAGACTGTGCTGCATTTGCTGACATTTCAGCAAACTGATGCAATAAATTCCATCTAAACAATGACAACAGAGGTACAGAAATTAATCATATATATAATTTGTTGACATAAAGTTTTGCTTTACTGACAAATTATATACCTGACTATAGTGCATAGCTCTTTTAATAACAGCAAACTCCCTTTAGAATTACCTAATGCTATGCAGTATTTAAAACTAAAGCTAAAGCTTACATGGAAAAATATATTTTTTTTCTCAATAGATAACTTCACTGAAAAGCTAACAACACTTTTACATATCATGAAAACTAGATAAGACATTCATATAACAGAAAAAATAAACAATTCCGTGGCGAGATATACTAATATTCAACATAAGAAACATCTTTAGTTTGTGACATTGTATTTGAATTTCACTAGCCAGATTTGATTTTAGTTTATATCTTTCTTACTGCCTTATTTTGTCATGGGCTAGTTCATTCCAGAATTTATACAGATTTGAGTGGAAAGAAGTTTGGTATAAAGTCTGAAGAATAGCTCATAAGCACATGTGAGAGTTTGGACGATGGTTAGCTGCCATCGAACTTGTCATTTGATCAACAGCCGCTGCCTAACATAAGAGTAAAATTTCAAGGTAGACTTTATTGATAAGTTTAGATATCAACAGACGTACATGAACATGCAGTTAGTTACATACTGTACTAACAAACACCTTAAAGGAAAACCTTGCATTCATTGCCAAGTCCAGGTGACTGGTAACTTTGTGTTGCAATATTTTTATTACCGTAATTTCCGGAAGAAAGGCCGCATCAGCGTAAACGCCGCACTGGAGAAAAATGGCGGGAAAAAAATTAAAATTACACAGAAACGCCGCAATAGATTAAATTGCGTGACATCGTCGTGGGCCGTATAGATACAAAAACTCAACCTAAGTCCTGATATATGACATACCGGTTAAGAAAAATGCATGAAATGAAACCATAACTCAAAAATAAATTAAAGGTAAGAAATGTGGAAAATACATTTACCTTCACGTATATACTTATATTTACCCACTAAAGAAGTCCATATTTGTAATACTCAGACTATATTATAAAAAATGTTGCAACAACGAAATATTAAATTTGGATGACAAAAGGAAATTTTAAATTTTACTTACGAATTACAGCAAACTATACATCATATGAAGCCATCAAAATATGATTCTTCACTATCTGAATTAAAAAGATTATCTAAGTCTTCCAGATCATCACATTCATCCTCTTGGTTTACAGTCTCTTTATCTAAGGATATAATTCAGCTTCTTTGAACCCTGCTATTATTGACGATGTTTTCTACCGATTTCCACGCACTTCATGCCCACTTTGCAATTTCTTCTTCATAGATGCTATATGCATTTTACCGCTTTTGGTATACGTATGCAATCCTTCACTCATCCAACACTCCCACCGCTTTCGGGCTTCAAGCTTTGAAAACCTGACAAATCTAATGGTTGTAACATTTTTGTCAAACCACCAGGAATTATTGCTGCGGTCGTAGACAATTTTTGATATCTGGTTTTCACTGACTCAAGTAAATGAGCACGCGTCGAATCCATTGTCAATAACCCTTTTGGTTGGAAAAAAGATCCCTTACGACGCTGCCAAACTTTTTTTAGCCACTCATGCATGATTGTTTCGCACATCCAGCCGTTCTCGTTTGCACAAATAATTACGTCATTAGGAAAATCTCCCTTCGGAATAGTCTTTCGTTTAAAAATGATCATCGTCTTTAGCTTGTCACCGTTTGCAGGCACAAGCTAACACACATGTAAATGACGTTCTCTCATGCCGCGTCATAAACACAGATACAGTTTTTGCACCAGTTTCATCAACAGTTCTGTTTGCAGGAGAGTCGAAAGCTAACGGCGTTTCATATTTCATCCATATTTATTATCTGTGAACCGAAAAAGTTTTTTTTTTTGTCAATAATAGCTTCACATATTTTTGTCAAAAGATGACTTTTATCCTGCCAGAGTCCATTGGTAATTGTTGCCCGAACTGTTGTTCTAGTACGCACAAATATTTTTTCTTTTTCATAAATCTGCTACACCTCAGCAAGGCCCTCATTTTAAATCATTTATGTTCATTTGTTTTTGCTATAAATTTTGCTTGTAAGCGAATTTTTACAGCTTGAAATTGCCATTCCCTTTCCTCATGGTGCTCCTTTATCCAGTTTGCAAGGTCGTCCTCTAGATTCGGCCACCTTACAGTACCACTTCTTTTGTTTTGGCTCGTTTCTGTTGTGGCATATTTTAAGAAGTTCTTTTTCAGTTCTCCAACGTTTGAATACATCTGTCATCCACTTCAAACTCTCGAGCTGCTGCTCGATTTCCAATTTAGTTCAACACAGTGAAATTACATTAAGCTTAATACCAGCAGTATAGCTTCTGTGCCGTTTAGATGTGCCATTTTCAAAAAATTTACCGCTCCCTTCTTACTTAAAAAACTATCCAACAAGTACTTGTACCCAAACTGGTGGGATCTGTATCTGGCAGAATGCCAAGAAAAATCCATTCATGCTGAAGGGGAAATACATCAGAGTTCGTTATTGCGATGCGAGGCAGGTGGTGTCGTGTCAGCCTTTGAAAAAAATTGCAGAAAAGGCAGGGATGGGGAGAGGATGGGTCCTGGAAGATTCATCGAATGGCAGAGGAAAGAGACTATTCGAACTGATGAGAATGTTGATTTGAAAGGGGGAAGAATGTTATTGTTCTGAGATCTCCTTTAGAGTGAATAAGGCATGTAGGTCTGTTCAAGGGAAAGAATGTAAACAAAATAACGTTCGCAAAAAGCAATTGAGTGGTCTTTTGTGTGGGAACAGCACCAGTCTCTGCACAATGACAAGGCCATCCAAACTATGTACAATGACCATCATAGGAAATATTTTATTTTTAGTGCACTTAAACGCCGCATGGGTAGAAACGTCGCACCCGCTGAAAATTTAAGTTTTAAACACGTAAACGCCGCGGCGTTTCTTCCGGAAATTACGGTACTTCCTTGTACGAAGAAAAAGGAGTATTGTAATTGCGAAAAATTTCAGGCATCATTTCAACGAAAATATCCATTTTGACCACGACTGAATGCAATGTAACGATGTTTTTGCATGACATCTGTACGTAAGGACAGAATAAAAGACTCTTTTTCCCCAAATGAATTATAAAATGGATTTAGATGATACTTTCTTGTGGCGTCTGTACGTATGCATGTATCTTGCATAACTCAAAGACGAGTAGCCTTAGAACATTGAACTTTTATATATAGGACTGCTATAACAAGTAGATATGCACCCTCCTATTTTGGTTGCAATCGGCTGCACCAAAAGTATAAAAATATATGTATATATACATATATCTACTTTGTTACTCAGCTCAGTTTCTTTATGCTTATACAGTCTTGTAAGACCCCGCTTAACGCGGGGGATACGTTCCATCAAAGTAGAGGTAGAGCGTAATGCGAAACAGCGTTAAATGAGGCTATCTTTACATGTAAATATTGGGGTTAGGGGAAGATGGCTAGGAAATTGGTTAGGTATTAAATTTAAAAAGTATGTTTTTTTAATAAAAATAAAACCAAACATTTATTTCTTAAAGCCCAAATTAATACCACATTATTATTTCTTGCAAAAATAAAAACAAAATATAAATAACAAAACGAATATTCTTAAAAAAAAAAAAAAAAAAAAAAAATAAATAAATAAATTCTCAGTCAGTCATATTTAGTTAGCCTTCCGCGTTTTCAGTGTTCTGCCTTTTTGTGACAAAAGCATCTAATGTTGTTTGCCTTTTTCTTTTGCGTTGTTCTCTTAAAAGTTCTTCATAAACGGATAGAGCATCTCTAACACCACGCCTTACTTTTGAGCTCCTGTCAAAATTCGGATCATTTTCAATGAATTGATCCATTATTTCAGTTATGGTAGACAAACTCCTTTTTACAAACGCCATCGAAAGTTCTTTTTGCTCTTCTTCTGAATCACTGCTGTCAACATTTTTGTTTTCTTCTTGTTCAGTTAATTCCTTGAGCTCATCATTAGAAAGACTAGCCGCTGCTTCTTGAATTATTTCTACGACATCTTCCACATTTACCCCTTCAAAACCGGTTTGCTTCGTTAATTTCACTATCTCTTCCACTATTTCATCCACATCGACAGAGTGTCCAACGTCATCGCTCTTACTTAAATCCGGCCAAATATTCTTCCATACTCCTTTCAAAGATCTTTCTGTTACCTCATTCCAAGAAAGGCCTATGTTTTCTACAGCATCCACGATGTTGTAGTTTTTCCAAAATTCTCTTATGGACTGGTTCTCTTCTCCGTCTGTTTTTTCAAACATTTGCTTAAAGGTTTGCCGCAAGTAATAAGCCTTAAAATTTGATATAACGCCTTGGTCCATTGGTTGAATTAAGGCAGTTGTGTTAGGCGGCAAGAAAACCACTTCGACTGGAATGCATGTTGTTAAGTCTGATAAATTTGTTGGGTGGCTTGGACACAATTAACAGAAGTGCTTTTTGTTCAAGTTTTTTAATTTCGCAATAACGTTTAACAGACGGGCAGAAATGTTCAGTGAACCAATCCTGGAAAATTTTCGCAGTTATCCATGATTTTTTTTATTAGACTCCCAAATTACAGGTAAAGTTGATTTAGATATGCCTTTCATCGCTCTTGGGTTTTTGGAATGGTAAATTAGTAATGGTTTTAATTTAAAATCTCCGCTTGCGTTACCACCTAGTAGAAGGGTTAAGCGATCTTTTGCAGCTTTAAATCCTGGTGCCCGTTTCTCTTCACGGGATAGAAATGTTCGTTTCGGCATTCTTTTCCAAAACAAGCCTGTTTCATCAACATTAAAAACCAATTCTGGAGGATAGTTTCCTTCTTCAATTATTTTTTTTAATATCGCTGGAAATTCAGCCGCCGCTTTTGTATCACCACTTGCTGCTTCTCCTGTAATCTTTATGTTGTGAAGGTTATTTCGATGTTTAAATCTATTAAACCATCCTCGACTAGCAACGAAAGTTTCACTTTTGTCAATTGTCTCAGCCTGAATGTAATTAAAAATTCTTCTAGCTTTTTCCATTATGATAGATTGGCTTAATGGGCATATTGCGGTCAATTTCGTCGTCAATCCATATAGACAGTCGTTTTTCCATTTCCTCTTATGATACGTTATTTCTAGAATGGGTAATTCTAGTTGCAGAGCTTGACGTAGTTGCAGTTGCCGTTGACAGTATTTTTTCTTTATTCTTAAGAATTGTCCTTATTGTTGAAGTTGGCCAAATTCAATGAAGCACTAATTAGAGTTTGACGTTCACCAGAATCTAATCTTCTAATCACTTCCATTTTAGTTTTGAGCTTTTTCTGGTTGCTTTCTTTTCTTTTTCATTATCACCCATAGTAAAAAACTAAAGATCAAAATATTTGACACTGAAATATAGTATTAAATATGTAAATTAATACCTACTTACAATAATGTCAACAAATGTTTCTAATAATAAAAATATGCCTGTACAATATCGCACCAAACAAGAAATACAAGTACACTCTTTCGGATATGTATTTGAAACCTATCGCTGCATAATATTTCGTGGAATCCCCGTATGCTGCGCGCGATTTCGTGGAATCCCCGGGTTGAAATAAAAGAGCGCTAAACCGAAACAGCGCTAAGCGGGGTCTTACTGTATGTTTGTAAATTGTGCATCTTTTGCTTTAAAAATCATTGAATTAAGTTGTTCTTATCTTCTGGTTAAGGTTTTTATGCCTTTAGTTAACCATCATGTTATAGTTGTAGAATTCAACAACTTAAAAGTTGTTTGCATGCGGCTAAGCCTAATTTTCTTACCATAGAAGCCATATTTACATTTGAAACTTAGCAAATAGTGGATTTGTTGCCAATCTAGAGAAACTAAGCTTCACAATAACAAAGTAACATCTTCTTTTATTACTGTGAATTAAATTATGCTTAATCCATTCTGGGATTACCATTTAAGTTATTAAATTATCTCATACATTGACTCAGCATAGCGTCCACAACAAATTCAGTTTCTACTCCTTCAGTGCCCTTTTGCCGAGTGAGACCAAAACTAAACTTCCAGTTTTGTGCACCGAAAAATCAGCCTTCTTGCCCCCGATCGAATTGCTTGTTTTTGCATAGAAACTGTAATTTTAATTGTAAAATTTTTTTTGTTAATTGTTTTAACTGTATTTGGTGTTTTAAGTTTTTCTATATTTTTAAATTTTTAATATAGATATTCTGAATTTTTGTGTATTTTTGCCTTGTCGTGAAGTTAGAACTGAATTAACTGAATGAGAAATATATCTCTAATGAAATTCGAGGAAGTAAGTTTAAATGAAATACATGAAAAAATCTGTATAATTCAATATTCCATACAAGGAAGTCATGTGATGTACACATCAGAATTTTTCAACTTTCAAAAACGGTTAGGTAAAATAAATTTAAATTTTAAGCAATATCTGTGTTTTTTGCTTCAGTGCAAAGTTTGCGGTAAAAATTCCCTCAAGAATTTTAAATAACACCTAGGGAGACCCAAACTAAACTTGGTACCTGAGGTAATTAAGATCTGATTAAGCTTCAGACAGGTGTGTTACAAATTAATTATAGCAACTACTATGTGTTAACAATTACCAACTAGATATACTTTTATATATTAAATGCAATTTAAATTATATGAATTACATATATTAGTAAAAGTGTTTATAGCTTTCAAATAGCCCCCCCCCCCCCCCCCCCCCCCCCCCCCCCCCCCCCCCCCCCCCCCCCCCCCCCCCCCCCCCCCCCCCCCCCCCCCCCCCCCCTAGCCTAGTTTGTTAAGTGATAAATAGACTGATAATTTGAACAATAAATTAATGCTCTTATGTTGTATGGAATGGAGGTAATCTAGAAACTGGCTATATGTAGCCTATACAGGCTACATGGAAAATAAAAATCTAATGTTTTAGGCAATAGCAACATTTCCCATGTTGCATGACAGATAAGCATTACAATTGTGCAGATGATTGTCCCAGAAATTAAAGAAAATATTTGAACAATACCAACATTATACTTTAATTTTCAAAACTCAGAATTCTTTCTAGGTAATGATTTGCAGGCAGCAATTCTAACAATTACAAGAAAAAAAGTGAGAATCACACAAACGTTATTCCAATAATTCTTCATTTCTTTTACACATTTTTTGCTCTCTGTTAAATCTATGTCTTTGTTTTTAAGCTGTGTCCTAGCCATTAAAAACAAACAGAAATTTTGAAGTAAAATGAAAATTAAGGGCTTGATTTAAATTTGTGCCAGAATTAACTGTAACTTATTTTTTTATTATACTTATGCAATATAGCAAAAAAATTACCATTATATATATGTTTTTTAGTAATTAAAAAAACTGAAGTATTATTAAATTATCATATATCAACGAAGATCAAGGGTACCTGATGCATGATGACAGAATTTCTATTGATTGCAAGATGATTGGAAGCATTTCTTGTGCTAATTCTTTAGCTTCAGTGTTGGCCCCTTCGCTCTAATTTAGAAACATAGGAAAATATTAAAAAATTAGCAAGAACTTTGAAGTTTTTTTTATAAAAAAAATATTACAATAAATAATTTTTACTATTTTGTATTAAAGGAAAAAATATTTATATACCTATGAATTCTACATCATGAAGATTATTGTAAAAACCATACAGTTTTAGACTTGATATAAAAGTTTTAAGTACTTCAAACCCACTTTTCTTCTTCCCACAGTCATACTTTGTTGTAACTTTTATAACAAATTTTATAACTTTTTAAGTAATGTTAATATTTTTTAATTTGTACAATTTTCTTTACTAGAATTTACAATATATATTGAAGAGTGGGTAGTGCTGGTTTTCAAAGTTTAACTAAAAGCTCAAATGCAAGTTTCTTGCAGATATTTGCATACACTTTGAATTTTCTTTATTTATATTATAATTTTATTTCATATTGCAATGATTAAAAGTGACTTTTATATAATAGATGACAAACTTAGTTTAATCATAAATTCTCTCTAATCAGTTTAACTCTCCCTATTAACATTAGTCATGTATCATTTTATGTCACAGGGAAGGTCAAACTAAAGATAGCAGAGCTGCACACAGTGGTTGGATAGGATAAAGCAGAGCCAGTTGTTAGTTGGCCCTGGGAAGTTATTATTTGTTCATACCTTACTTAATTTAGTAAATAAAGCTATCAAGCTTTCTCTATTTTAATTATTGGTGCAAAACAAACACTTTTCTAACTGGGACTTGTTCTGCAAACCATATAAACCATACAAAATGTTCAATTTCTTACCCACCAAACTGAGACAATTATCATAAAATTTTCAACATTATTTAGGAAAAACCCATAACTGTAAGTACATACTAAGAATAATAGTGTATATATGCAAGTATGTATGTATGGATGGATGTATATGCATACCTACAGCGGAACACCATTTTTCAATTCGTTTAAAATATTAACTGTGATGAAACAAATTTTTATTAATTTTAATAAATATTTATTAAAATTATATTTTAATAAATATTTAATTAATATTAATGCTCTAAAATTAAACAATTTATTTTTTATAATTAATGTTTTAACTACTAATGTCATTTTATATATCATACAAATTACATCAAACATGGTACAAATTTAATGCAAAGCAAATTTGTATAATGTAAATATGTAAAACTGACCATAAACATTCATATCTTTATTTGAATTACCATCTTCAACAAGTAAATTTTAACCTTTTTTAAAAAAAAGTCTTTGTCTTTTTTTTTTTTTTTTTTAATTCTGAATCTTAAGTAAAGCTTTTGAATTAAGTTCTTGAAAATTTTTTCTTGATTGTAGTTTTACATACAAAGAAATTTCTTAGGGTTTCAATGCAGAAGATAGCATTTCAAAATCAAAGTGGAATTATTTCTTCATTTTCTTCCTCATGACGACTACTTAAATATTCATGTGGTAAAATCTTTTTAATCATTTCTTAAACTATGTATAGGTTTGACATCATTACACTATCATCACTGTTTACATACACCTTAACTGTAATGTCTCATCCCAGTAGTTTCCAATCTTAGTCATCTATAATCACACTTTCATCATCAACACTTTCACTTGACTCTGGTTTCGAAAGTCCCTCTTTAATGAAGCAATGTTTAAACGTAATTTTACTTGAGTTCAGGCAAGTGAAATCATATTCATTGCCTCACGAATATTTAAATTTTTCTGTGTATTTCTTGTCATTATATGTTAAAGGATTATTTGAATTAGCTTTTCTTTGTAGAACATATTTAAATTCTTACTGATACTCAGATTTAAAGGTTTATTTCTTGTAATTATACTTTGAAGGATAACTTGAATTAGCTTTTGCTTGTAGAACATATTCAAATTCTTACTGATACTCAGATCTAAAGGTTACACCACATTGGTCATTTGGCAGAAAGAAAATGACTTTCATAGTTTGCAAGAAATCTAATTCTTGCAGATGTGCAGCACAATGATCCATTAAAAGTAAGGTTTTGCAGTTTTGTCTCCTTACAATTTTACGTATTTTCTTGAGACATTCTGTAAAAATGCCTGTAGTCATTCATGCTTCCTTATTTGCTTTATATTCTAATGACAGTTTTCTGGTACAGGAGTTTTAACATATTTGAGGCTGCTTGGTTTTTATGACATTTCTATAACTAAAGGAGTCATTTTTTCCATACCACGAGCATTTTCACAAGGTAAAACAGAGAAAAATTCTCTACTTTGCTTAGCTCCATAATTCTCCTTTGAAAATTAGGATTCTTGCAGGCATAAGTTTAAAGATTTTAGATTCTCCTTTTATTATAAGACAGAGATTCAACACCACTGTTTAAATTCGTGCAGCCATCTACTTGGAATGCATGCTTCCTTCATATTCAGTCAAAGTGATTTTTCTTACGAATTCTCAAATAACATGGGGCCATTCACTGGAATATTGGATGCAGGACACTGATTGAAAAGTTTTAGCAAAATGGCTTCGACTTCAGGAAATTTTCCATCTTGAGCACGTAATTTCTTTGAAGCAGACTGCCCACAAATTTCTGTTCTTTCAACGTTTTTTCTATCATAAACAACCCTTTTTAATGTTGTTACAAGACTAACCAGTCTCTTTGCTAACTTAATTTTCATCAATACAGTTTCCTCATCAAATTCTTTTACAATCTGAATTTTATCTGTAAATGAGAATGTCTTTTGCTTTCATAACATTTTGTATCAGTTAATTCTGCTCCACCTAATTACAGCATCCTTTTCAGAAGGAAAAAAAAAACTATTCTTCCTTCCAACTGAACCTTTATTTGTGAATTTGTTCAACTCCTGTACCAGACTTTGATGTCTCCTGCCTTTGTTTCCTTCGCCTATCCCCATTTCTGGTGAACATACTTGAACGATGGGGGTACGAGATGTAACATCAGTGCAGTAAGTTAAGCAAAAGCGATGTGTAACCAAAATTATGTGATGTATAAAAGTGACAATTTACTATTAAAATAAATGACTGAATCAGGACCAAGATGAAATGATGTATAAATGTAAAAGATGTATAAAAGATGTTTGATTGTATTCATATAATATCAAAAAGTTCTTTTTGTTTTAAAATATATTATTCCAATATTTTCTCCGTGCAATATGCTCCTGAAAATGATTCAACTATAGATAAGAAATAAGAAATTTAGAACCAAATCCACAAAGATGCAAAAGAAATGAAATACAATACCAATAAAATTCAAAATTCCATATAAACATGTTTCAAAAAATAATCACCGAACCAGAAGAATTATAGATATCGGAAATACAACATTACAAAAATTATGTAGGAAGCAGAATGCAATCAAAATCTGATTCAAATTTATCAAGACTCGAGATATTTCGGGTCAACTGAACCCCTTCCTCCATGGAAAACCACTGCATTTCTGTTCATCCAAAGTTAGCTGATGAACCATTCTAAACCATTTAATTATAACAGTTCACCCAAAAATTCTGAACTTCTCCTCAATGCAGAGGGGAGTCCATTAAAGAAATATATAAAAACACATCCATATGTAAAAATTTCAATGTCGAATAAAGTAAAAAAACTTCATTAGATATTTTTTACTAAATTTAAGATTGAAGTGCATAAGTAGTAATATGAAATAAACACAAAAAATTAACACAGAACATTGAAATCAAACTTACCAAGAGCAAAACAAAGCCCCAAATAATGAAATTTTAAAATAGATGCTTATGGTTGCCAGTGTGGCTTCATTGGTGATGGTTAGTTAAGATTCGGAACATACAATAGTAAAGTAAAAAAAGAAAAGTTAGAAAACAGTAGTCTTCATGTCATGAGCTTATCATGATGACTTGAACAGAGTATATACCCTCTGTTAATACAAGTAAAGTCAAGAATAACTGTACAGTAATAAGAAGGATAAAGATGGACGTTTTAAGGGATGTTTAACCCCTTAGCATACAATGACGCTTCAGAGGCGTCGCAAGGTTATCGGACCAAACACGAATAAGACACCTTAGAGGCGTTGCAAGGTTATCGGCCCAAACATGAATAAGATGCCTCAGAAGCATCGCAAGGTTATTAGCCCAAACACGAAAAAGACGCCTTAGAGTCATCGTAGCTCTACCGGGCGAAACATAAACAAAACATTTGAGAAACTTAATGGGGCCTTTGCCCCATGAGAGACATTCCAGAGGCGCGAGTTCAGTTACTGCTTATTCGCATTCGACGTTACATCGTTTGTAAGAAGTATTATAAAATCACCCATTATAATGTCTTCAAAAAGAAAAATTAGTATTGAGAACAGTGATGACTTTGCTACCAGTAGTAGTGACAGTGGTAGTGACATTGTATGTTTCGCACGAAAAGCTACTAAGCAACTAATTAGCGAAGAATCCGATAATGAAAATTATTATCAACCACCTGAGTTGTGGATCTGAGGGGGGAAAAAAAAAAAAAACGAGAACCAACCAAAAATATGGCAATATATGGAAATTCCTGGAATAAAAGCTGCAACATTAGATCAGTTGAGTACAAGCAAAGAGGAAATGGAGGTTTTTAATATAATGTTTAATAGTATATTTTGGGAAAATCTTGTGACGGAGATGAATCTATATGCGGAACAAGTGACATATAATGAAAATAAAAAAAGAAAAATTGATGAAGCTTGGTTTACTATTGACTGTGATGAACTAAAAATATATATTGCCCTATGTATAATTGCGGCTGAAGTGAAGAAACCCGCATTTTAAATGTATTGGTCTAAGAGGGCCGTTATTGCAACTCCAATATTTAGAGAAACGATGCAGTACAAAAGATTTTTACAAATAAGTAGATTTTTGCATTTTGCAAATAATGAGGTGGCCAATAAAAGTGATAAATTAAGTAAAATAAAGCCCGTAATAAATTATTTTAACCAACAATTCCAAGAAATATATAAGTATGCAAGAGGACATTGCAATTGACGAATCATTAGTAAAATTTAAAGGATGTTTATCCTATAAACACTACAATTGTCATCAAAAAGAGCGAGATTTGGTGTAAAAGTTTATAAATTATGTGAGTCCAGTACAGGTTACTGCTGTAATTTCAAAATATACACTGGCCGTGACAAAATACATACTACAGAAAATGCATCTGAAATTTAGTCAAAGAACTATCAAAGCCAATTTTACACAAAGTACACACATTATATTTGGACAATTGGTATTCTTCACCAAATCTTTTTGTAACTCTACTCAGCAGTAAAACTAATGTCATTGGAACAGTGCGCGCAAACAGAAAAAATATGCCAAAAGATTTCTTGAAAACAAAATTAAAAACAGGAGAATATGAAATGAGAATCTGCAGTGGATTACTGGCAATAAAATGGAAAGATAAACGAGACGTTTTTATTCTATCTACAAAATATACAACAGTAGCAATGACTAAGCAAATCAAAAAGCAACACAATCCTACTTGGAAACCAAAGTGTATCATCGAATACAACAAAGGGATGATAGGAGTTGATTGACAAGATCAAATGCTTCCCTCTTATGAGAAAGTGTATGAAGGGGTATCGGAAAATTTTCTTTTACCTGTTTGACATGACGTTATTTAACTCTTTCATTTTGCATAACAAGATAAATATTGAAAAAAGACAGGGATATGCAGAATATAAGGTTAAAATAGCCGAATTATTATTGGAAAATACACCATTACGGAACTACAACCGTAAAGGACAGTTGTCAAATGGAAATTTACCACTAAGATTGCAGGCTCAACAGTGGAGTCATTTTCCCAAACATATAGATCCAACGCCGTCGAACCAACACCCAAAATGAAGATGTGTAGTTTGCACAAAGCATAAACAATGCAGAGAGACAAAGTGGGAATGCAAAAAGTGTAAAATTGCATTACATGTACCAACATGTTTTGAGAGATATCATACTGTCAAAGATTACTAAAGTTTTGTATTAAAACAAAAATGTTATTATTAATGGATTATATAATTTGCAACAAAAAATCTTTTTTTTTTTTTTGTTTAATAATCAACCAACTGTAATTACTTATCAAACATCTTGCAAAGTTAACTGTACAGCGCACGTGTATATACAAACATAGGAAAGTTGCCATTTGTACAATTTTGAACACTGAGCAAAGTTGTTTAGTCCCTTCGCACGACCGACTATGGTGTCGCTTTTGGCCCGCACATTTGGAAATTATATCATAAGGGAAGGGGTTAAAGAATAGAAGAATAAAGCCTGTAACCACTTTTCTCATATAACTGCACAGACAACTACCTGGTGCAATGCAATACCTCATATAAATATAATACTGCTGAAAATATACATAAAATATATCTTAAACATTTGAATTCCTTTCAAATGTCTCGAAGTCATTTTTTATGACCTTATGTCAACACTCACCATCTCAATTAAAAGGTATATTTCACTAGTAAGCTAATATAATAGTAATAATAATAGGTTAAAAAAATTCAAATTTTAAAACATGAAAACCTTCTTATTACATACAATATATTTTATACCTAAACACATTTCTTTAAATATCAAAGATTTATTTTATATTCAGAATGCAAATTATGTCAAAATTGCTGGAACATCTAAATATGCTTGGTCAGAAATAGCAGGGTTATCATTTACTTAATTTGGCAGATACAGAGGAAACCCTTTAAAAAAACTTTAATAAAATTATATGGTTGCGTCTACTTACTTCTTTTACACAAGTTTCACACATATTTCTGTGTATGGAAATTCAGTATTTTTAAAGACCATCAATTGAAAAAAAAATTAAGGACGTATAAAAAAAAATTAATGAAATTAAATTTAATCTTGTAAATGCCATTCCATAATGTAAGCGTATGAAAGATAATTTTAGCCTAGCTTAACCCTTTGAGGAGTGATATATAAAATAATTTAAACTGTGGTATAATTTTGCATGAACTATAATTTATGGACCTTAAGGACACAAAATTGAGACTTCAAAAAAATCTAGAGAGAAATCCTGAATTTTGAGAGCCAGTATACATTTTATACCGGCGCCCCTCTAGGACATTTTTTTCCAAGTAGATGCCAAGTAGCTTAATCTTTGTTTTTTTAATTAATTTTGGGTACTTTTGATGTGCGTCTGCAGTGATAAGTGCTTAAATATAGTTATGTAAAGTCTAAAGACAAATTTTCTTTTTAATTTCGGCAGACATTTAAAATTTCAAAAATAAAATTTATGTTTTTATGCACTTTGATGGTGCAACCCAACTGAACCATACTTATGTAAAATATGGGTAAAAAGCTCTTTCAACTTGATTTAAATTCAATTATTTTATAAAAAAAATTTAGCAATATAACACTGCATGTGTAAATCGTATCATGCTGTAACTGAACTAGTAGAATATCACAAGCAGATGTAATTCAGCCGAAAAATTGAAAAATGAAAAAATGAAGCACTACGACCGACTCAGCTCAGAAAGTATGTTGCATTTTTTAAGTTGTATTTTATGCTTTAGATAATACGTGAAAAAAACCATGCTTCATACTATGATACGAAGATTCGCCCCCCCCCCCTCCACGCACACACACTTTAGATCATCGAGGACTGTAAGGGTCCCCTTTTTATTTTTTGTAAATATAGATTGTAATATATCTTTTTGTTCAGTAAGAAACGCCATTAAACAATTTTATTATTTGATACACCTCAAAGCTCTTATTTCTGATTTTCAACCCCTTCGGCTTCCTAGTGGCTCTTTTTCAACTTTTGGATAAATTTTAGTTTGCATCTAAAATGGGCCTTAGAAATATTTTTCCTCCTTTTACCAACTGTGAAAATTTATTTCGAAAACAACCTATTTGTATCCTAACCCAGAGCGCAAATTTCTCCTTGTGTTCCCTAGTCTTTCATCTGAAAGGGCAAAGAATTAAAAAGAATTCCCTAAAGAATAACAAGCATGCTTTTCAAATCAGCAGTTTTTGTGATTACATATGAAGAAATGGAACCTTAAGTGCATTTCCATTTCCCGTATTTTTAAGTGAACTTTCCCTTTGTGTAATCAAGACTTCAACAAAGGGAAGAAGGCGTGACTCCCCGAATGACAAATTCGTTATCAGTCACCTCTTTTCATTTTCACTGCATTCTAGGATTTTGGAAAGCACGGAAGCAACAGGTGTCTTTTGAGGAGCTAACATGCCACATTTAACCCCTATAATTGTGTGAAGTTTTGACCCCAGACGAGGCAGTTTTGAAATCCATGAGTCTTTCTCTTGGGAAACAGTGAAGTGCTGAAATTAAAATTTTAGCTAAACAGAGACGGAACGAAACTCGTGAGTGAGTACACAAAGAATAAAAAGAAACTAATATACTTGTATTCAGTCCTAGTGCAGGGTCAGAAAACTCCCCATTCCTCCATGAACATAATATTTAATCCTAAACGACTTATAAGTTAATCATGAAATATTATTACATCATAAACTGTTATAATAATAAAGAAATTCTGTCACGTCACAGAGTAGAAAAGGAGAAGACTGGTGCTGCCATCTATTGGCGTGGTACCCTCAGTGTGGGCGCAGGTATATATTATATACCAGTTTTAAAATCGTATAAATAATCTGCTGTTAATTATCACTTCTGACTGAAATGAAGTAAATATATAAGATTCAGCAGGTACGTCGTATCTTTGCAGATTTTGAATTTTTTCTTTCCCTCCAATAGAATTTATCAATCTTCCAACATGATACCTTGGACCGACGTATATTAATTTCATAACTGTAAAATATTGAGCTTTCATAGGGTGATGTTGCCATTTAGAATCGAAAGAAAATACTAGACACTTACGATTATAGCTTTTGGTGTAGAAAAATTAGCATTTTTTCGGAGGTTAAAAAATTGGCAAACGCCCTTCAAAGGGTTAAAACACAAGCATATGAATGCTGCATAATTATTAAATATAATTGTAAAACTAATTTAAGAGTAAAACCAATTTAACTTGGTTAACTTAATTAAACCAACCAACCAACTTAAACTACTAAAAAATTTACTATTAAAATTAGTATTCACTATTATTAATTCACAATTAAATGCTATTCACTACTAACTCACTATTATACAATTCTTTTATTTTAAAAATATCCATTAAAAATTATTACATTGAAATCACAATCAAGAAAAATTCTGAAATTTAAAACAAATATGTACCATATTTCCCAATGTGACTGGTGATGTGATGGTGTTTATATGTTTTTGGTGATACGATTTTGCCCGAGAGAAGGGCTGAAGGTCATGCTTTTGAAGGCACATGCAGATGTCACATTTCCATTAAAATCCAAGAAGCAGCCTCATATTAAATCAGTTACATTACTGAATCAAACACTTCTGGACAGGGGAATAAAAATATCTCCATATTATTGGAAAAGATAAATTGAAGTGTTGGAGTAAAATTACGGTTTGCAAGTTTGTTACCCATTTCACTTTTACAGTCATTTCCTTCATTTGGTTCATATATGAAGGTTCTAATGAAATGAGACTGCAACCTTATTATTAATTTAAACATTAACACACATTTCTTTCAATCGCAGTTTACAAAAATAATATAAATTAATATTTGAAAAAAATTACTCAAAATGTCAAATAAACAAAAATACATGAAAAATCATTACTTTCATTCAATAAAATGAATTACAAGCTAAAATAGCTTAGATACAAATACATACTAAAGGTCTTGAGAAATATTCATCTAAGGCAACTTGCACTTTTGCAACTGCACATTCTATAAGAAATATATCAAACAACCTTGGTGACTGTTCTTTACTGCACGGTTCAGACGATGATGCAGGAGTTTTCTGCAACTAAGCATTTATTCAATGTATAAAGAGTACTAAAGAAATACTTTAAAAATACATGTTATATTATTTAAAGATAATTTTTCCAGCCGCAACAAAAAAAAAAAAAAAAAAAATAAGGACTGGAAAAAATATACCAAGATTACACTAATTTATGGAATTTTAATAAAGAAAATATAAACATGATAAATTGGCAAAAAGTGCATTAAAAAATAAAATCTATAAAAACCAAAAATACATTACAACTGCAAAAAGGGACATAAAAAAATTACATGTACTTTTTTAAATGAAATATTTAGACCATAGTTCAAGATTCCAAAGAAACGTAAACCATTAAAAATGGAAAGTAGGGGGAAGGGAAAAAAAAAAAAAATCATACATTTTGATTATCTGCCCAGTCCTAAAGAGAATTTACCAGATGACATGCTATATCACCAAAACAGGCAAACAATGATGGGGGGAAAAAGGGGTTTAATGTGACAACCCAGGTGTGCACATGCAGTATTAATGTTGGTTTTTGCTGCAGAGTGCACTTTCTTTTCCCCCCCTTTTTTGCAGAGTGGGTTAAGGATTCTAACAGGACTATGGAGTCTGGTTGAAGATGACAGCATTGCACTTCCTCAGAAACATGGCATTTTGTTCAACAATAGAGAATGCAAGAATTTGCACTTCCATACTTTGTAAAATCAAAATTTGTGCAATGATGCTGAATTTCAGAAAAATCTCCAGTTTGTTTTAAAGCAAAAACTGAATGCTCTGTATTTACAAAAAGAGAACAAAAGTGTACAGAGTCACATGGTACTTTGTGATGCTGAGATTCTGCAATTTTCTGATTTTTAAGCTAAAACATATCATTGTGCACATGGGGAGAGGTGTAGGGAAAAAATAGGTAAACATTTTATAATGGATATTTCTTGCATTTTATATTTTGTTAACTGGTTGCTATTTTACATTGTTTTTAACACACTGTCATTTTTGAAAATGGATGTTGTCTTGCACATCTGCTTTTCTACACGAGGAGACAAAGTTGCTTAGCGTCACAATAAAGACCTTGCAGACTTGTAGCCTGACAAGTTGGCCTGAGCTACACAGCCAATTATGAAAGTCAAAGCACTAGATGTCAAAGCAAAAGATGTGATTTGTATCCAACAAAAGACCTCCATCAATCTCACAACAACCATAATAATTTGCAAACTTTTCAATGCATACATATTTCAGAATTTAATTTTAAAATAAGTTGTAGTAACATTAATAGCAATAATAAACAGGAGCTTAATAGCATAAGGTACAATAATATAAAATTCCAATAAAAATACAAAACAGGAAAAATAAATATAAGATGCAAATTTAAAAAAAAATTAATGAAGTGAGAAAGGAATGCAAATTAATTGTTAAATATAATGCATATATGAATGTGTGTGTGAATATATATACAAACATACGAGGGTTGGAACTTTAATAGTAGCAACTATTTATTTACAAGGAATACAAAAGTGATTCATGTCATCATGTTCTACAGTCCTTCAATATAGTCGCCAGCATTGTGTACAGCCCGTTTCCAACGATGTGGAAGTCGCAGAATACCTGTAGCAGCGCCTGTTTTGTTGATAGTTTGAATGGACCGGTCTACTGCCGCAAGAATCTCAGGAACAGTTTGGAAGCAAGTGCCACGAAGTGGTTCCTTCATCTTAGGAATTAAGTCATAGTCACAAGGGCTTAGATCTGGGGAGTATGGTGGACAGTAAAGCACTTCCCAGCCCCATCGCTTGAACATATCAGTCGCAGCTTGCGCTGCATGCGGCCAAAAATTGTCATGCAAAATGAGAGGAGCGTTCTTCAGAAAGTGTCGCCATTTTTTTCTCAAAGCTGGTCGGAGAATGTGCTCCAAAAATGAGCAGTAATACTGCGCAGTGACGGTCTGCCGTGGGGGAACAGTATGCATTAGGATGACACCATCACAGTCGTACGGGGGGTAATGTTACCTGTGTCCGTGATTATCCTTAAGTCACACGTGCCCCCTGGGTGGTGCTAAATGGGTAACTGTCACAAAGTCCTGTGGCATACCGGGGTTTAGTGGGATGAGGTTCGGTCTGATGATGAGTAATCTTATGACGACCCAACGGACCGCTCTTCCCTGGGAAAACCGGCGATTGTGGGGAGGATTTGAAATTCCGAGGATCTTTGATTTGGAGAGGAGGGGTCTTGGAGGAAGCAGCCACGTAGAGGATACAGGAAAAAAGCTGAGTTTTGCGTCTCAGGCCGCCAGATAGTACAGGAGCTCGGGGCAGCCCAACCAGCATGTCCTGGCTGCTCTATCAGCTGGTGTATAATCTCGCCTGCCTTGTAGTTCCAGGTGGTGCCTGGGTGGGGTCCTGCATGGCAGAGCGGGGGGCTCTTCCGAGGTCACTGCTGGCTGCTGAATCTGGGGCTAGCCCCTCCAAACTGGCTCTTAGAAAATCGGAAGGAATTTTTCTCCCCCTTTTTTCAATCAGATACCAAAATGGATGCTTGCAATATAAAATTAGATAAAAAACGCATCTTCTGAAACCCCCACTTTAACCACTGTAGCTCCTTCTGAGGGAGTGAATGCACCCTCGGGTGCAGACGCTCTTCTCTTCAGGACTACAGAAACCAGAACCGCTGGTGAAAGGGTGAATGTGCCTTCGGACACGGACACCTTGAACCCAGTGGGGATGGATACCGACTCCTCTGTCAGAAGTACTGTGCCAGATGCGCAAGCGGATGACCAGTCACCAATGACATAGGTTGTAAATAAAAGAAGAGAAAAGAGACAACGCCAGAAAGAGTGGAAACGCCTGCAGAGGGCCATGGAAGGGATCTCGATCTCTGGGAAGAAGGGAGCGAAGGAGAAAACAGATAAAGCTGGGACTTCTGGAGCGAACTCCAAACCGGTGAGGAAGAGCCATCCAAAGCAATGAAGAGTCTCGTAAGAGAGAACGCATTGCTGGTGACACCCCGGAAATGGTCCTCAAGAAACGATGGCTTTATAGTCAAGCTGCAAGAAAGGCAATTACTCTGCGAGTCGTCTGCAAGGATGACTCCAGAGACATAACATCGGTGGATTCAGATTTCATCACCTCTATAATTGATGACCGAATTATCGATGGCTCTATCACCACCTGCAGGGTCCATAAGACAGTCCTGCAGCCAAATGGCCTCAACATTGCATGTGAGGGCCAAGAGACTGTGGACGTCCTAAAGACTTTAATTAATGATCTACCTGGCCCTGAAGAAAACCATCCCGGTTATCATGCCATGGCTCACGGGACAGACCCCCCATGAAGAGGTTTTTCGCTTGGTTTCCTGGTAACAGGTCATCAAAAGATAACATCAAGCTCCTTGATGCCTGTAACAAGGGCCTGGATGTTAAGAAGATCGCCATCAATGGCAGTTATCCCTGGAGATGGAGGTAATACCCTGGTGCTGGGAGTGGAACCTGAGCTTATGGATTATCTGGAGGCCCAGAATTTCAAACATTTTTGTGGTGCCCGTGGCTGTGTACAGCTGAAGGAACCAAGGCAACAGGAGAAATCAATTCCTCCACCCAAGGATCCTCCGAGGAAACAGTTGATGGAAGAAGGGGAGACCGAAAAGGAGTCGGAACCAGAGCTTTCTTTGGAGGCTCTGGGGAAGACATCTGAATAGTTTTCCCCTGTCACTACTTCCTTTGAAGTCGTGGGTTAAGGATGCGGCTTTTAACTAAGTCTCTCCTAAAATCCTTCAGGGTAAGTTCTTTTCTCTCATTTAACCTGTTTTAATGGTTAAGGTTAGTCAGCTAAACCTGCAACATAGCAGAGCAGCTTCATACAATTTAGCTGCTCAATTAGGTAAGCAAGGCACTTTTGTTGCCTTAATTCAAGAACCTTGGGTGTACAAGGGTAAAATCCTTGGTAGACCCATGAATGCACACTTCTTTTCGTCAGAGGGACCTAATAAAAGACCTAGAACTAGCATTTACATTTCTAAAAATATAAAGGCTATGAAATTATCCCAATTTACATCAGAGGACTTAACTGCTATTTTAACTAAGGACATAAACAGTTCACTGAGAGGAAACATTTGTTTTTGCTTGGTTTACATGGCTTATGACCTTAACATTCCCCAAGAATTTATAGATCTTGTGAGTTTCTGTGAAATAAACAATATTCCTATGGTTATTGGTGGTGATGTTAACGCTCACCACCAATCATGGGGCAGTTCTGATACTAATCCTAGAGGAGAAAAACTCATGGAACTTATAATGAATACCAACCTAACTTGGGTAAACAGGGGAAATCGCCCCACCTTTGTCAACAGAAGAAGAGAAGGAGTCATTGACCTCACATTAACTTCTTCTGATATTTATAACCTTATTGAGAATTGGCATGTAAGTGACAATCCCTCGTTTTCAGACCATCGCCTTATACAATTTTGTATTTGAGATGAAATTCCAGCTGAATATTTCAGAAACATTAAAAGCACAAATTGGGACCTTTATAAGGACTCCCTGGTTTCTAATGTCATTAACCTTCAGGTTTAGACAATAATTGTACAGTCGAGGAGCTTGATACTCAAGCAAACAATCTGACAAATATCATTATTGAATCTTATCATGCATCATGCCCTCTCAAATGAAGGAAGTACTCTCCTAGCAAGAGAGTTTGGTGGACCAAGGAGCTTGAAAGCCTCCGCCCTAGAGGTTCGGAGAGCTCACAGGAAAGCAGTCAGAAATAAACCTGAAGTTAACTGGTCTAACTTCAAAATTCTACAAAGGAAATTTAAAAGTGAAATCAGGAAAACTAAATAAACTCACGGAGATCGTTCTGCACAGATATTCTGTCCTAACATGAGACTGCCAGAGTATATAAGATTCTTAAAAGATCTCAGGAGTCTCAACTCTCATCGGTTATGCGACCTGATTGCAGTTAGACTATAAACCCTTTGGATACACTTTCAACCATGTTGAATTTTCATCTGGGGGACACAAGTGTCACCTCTGACCCCCA